TCTCTCTCTCTCTCTCTCTCTCTCTCTCTCTCTCTCTCTCTCTCTCTCTCTCTCTCTCTCTCTCTCTCTCTCTCCCTCCCCCCGTCCATTCCCGCGCCCTCGCAGTTTCGGGACTATCCTCCGCTTTCCTTTCTTTGAAAGAAAAAGGCGTCGTTCGAGTCGTGGGGATGGGCGACCTCCTAAAGTCGCGGCGAGTTAACAGCCGCGACTTTTTTTAATAGATGGCCGAGGTACTGGTGGTTAAATACTATTGAGTGTTGCGGAGGGGAGGTCACAGGGACCAGGCGGTGGAAGAGCGTAAGCAGCATGGGCCGGCTAGGCAGCAGCGGGCAGAGCCAAGGTGAAGCGGGCGCTGAGATAGACAACGAGGAGGCAAGCAAGCAAGGTCGAGCAGCGCAGTGATAGGCAGCGCAGCTATAAGCAGCGGCGCTAAGGCGAGGGACGCAACGCAGGCGGACAGGGACGAACCCGGGCAGGAAAAGGCACCGGGTGCATGCGATGAGCCACGAGCAAAGGTAGGAAGAAAGAGGAGGGGGGAGCGAGCGAATCGGGACGGAACCCGACGTTTGGTGCATGCGGGGTACCAGGGAGGAAACGGGCGATGGGCAGCGGCGGGCGCAGCAAGCGAGCGAGCGCGAAAGTACCGAGACAGGAAAGCGTGCAGCCGGTGAGGGAGGACGAACCCGACCCGAGATCACGTCGGGGTGCATTCGACTGTAAAGGCGCAAGGGGGGTGAGGATGGCGGGATGGAGGGGGCATACCTCACTTCGTAGTGGACAGTTTTTGGCGGAGGGAGGTGCGATCCTGGAGTTTTGGAACCGGGCGAGTCGCATGGTGTGGTTAGTTTCGGAGGTAAGTAAGTAGAAAAGAAGAGTGAGGGAGATAGGCCTGCGCGGAGCTATGGCGGGAGGTCGAATGGCAGGCGGAAAGGATGAGATGACGGAATTGAGTGAGACGAAAGCCGCGGTGGGAGTTTTAGGATAGGGCGAGTCCAGTGGTAGAGTTAGTTTCAAGGTTAGATTCGTGGATTAGAAGTTAGTAGAAAGAATCAGTGCGCTGGGCTATGGTGAAAGGGAGTGGGGGAGAGAAAATTAGTATATCTCGGTCATATCTTGACCGATTTCTTCGAAGTAAGATTTGATTCCAGGTTTCTTGATAAGGCGATTTCAATGATGATGTTAGTTTTGGAGATAAGGAAGCATGTCAGTCGGTGCAGAAGAAGAGGGCTGCGTGGAGATGTCGAGGGGAGGAGATGGAGAGAAAGAGAGAAAACGTTCGTTCACGCTCGAACAAAAGCAGCCGAGAATGGGTTTGATTTGGAGGTTTTGAGCCATGATAAATCCGATGCCGAGCTCGGATTCGGAGATTGGTGGTAGGATCTTTGCGGTAAGTAGCGTGAGATGCGCGGGGAAAGGAATTTCGGATAGCGCAGTATGGCCATGTATCTTTCCATGTTCTAGCGGAAGATTCATCCGTACTTTGTTGCTTAGCCCGACGATGGAAGTAGGGCGAGGCTGGCCGTGCAGTAGAGATCTTACCTGTTGGTCGAGGTGCTTGCGCAGGGGAACGGGAACGATGGGGGAGGGGGTGTTACCTCGTGCTGGTGTGAGCGTCGGGGAGGAGTTAGTGAGGTGACGAGGTATTTAGCCATTTCTTAGAGGTAAGTTCATTCTGCAGCGACTCGCCTGAGCAGCCGAAGAAGTTGAAGACAAGGGCGGGGTTGAAGACTTACCCGCTCTGTAAGTTGAAGACAGGGACGAGGTGACTTAGGTATGTGTGTGTGTGTGTGTGTGTGTGTGTGAGAGAGAGAGAGAGAGAGAGAGAGAATGAGAGAGCTGTAAGTCTCCCACCCGCGGCTTGCCACACACTACTAAGATCGATAGAATGAGCAAATCAAAAAGTGACAGTGTATACTTCCACGTTTCAGCGGAAGATTCATTCTGTTTTTGCTCATCTTATCGATGAAATGTGTGTGTGTGTGTGTGGCGGCTCGCCGCACGCTACTAAGATTGATAGAATGAGAAAATAAAAAAAGTGACGGTGTATACCTCCACGTTTCAACGGAAGATTCATTCCGTTGTTGCTCATCCTATCGATGGAATGTGTGTGTGTGTGTGGCAGCTCGCCGCACGCTACTAAGATCGATAGAATGAGCAAATCAAGAAGTGACAGTGTATACTTCCACGTTTCAGCGGAAGATTCATTCCGTTTTTGCTCATCCTATCGATGAAATGTGTGTG